TCCTGGTGCCTTCAGGAAGGAGGAGGAGGAAATCAGAATTCACTGTCATGTGTTAGAGCTCTGGTGATTTATAAATAAATCATCCCCACAGGATGATTGATGTCTCCATATAAATAATTAAGTCTTGACCTTATGTTATGACACCTGCTAAATTTTTTGGCACTTGAAACCAGTGCTCAGGAGAGATCCTTGATTCTGGATAAATGAAGGTGGGGCTGCGTTCAAGGGGGAGGGGGAGAAAGGTTTTTGTTTACCCTCATTTTGTTCTGTTTGATTCCATCAGTTAATTGATGATGATTATTAATCTCTGTTGCCATCTACTCTATGGATTTAATTCCTGTCTATGATTGCTGTTGGAAAGTTTGCTCCATTAGAAACAGACTTTGATTGGATTTCCAGTAGCCAGAGTTTCCCAGATGTTCCCCAAATCATTGTGCTACCTAGTCCAGGCACCTTACCATTATTTTTGTTTGCAATTTACTTCATTTGGTGGCAGAGCTCCAGTAGCCTGGGTGACACTGTCATTATGCTCAACCAGGCTAGGTAGCAGGTGTCAGCAAAAGTTTAATTTGGAAGCTCATGAATTCAAAAGAAGAGCTTAACAGTTATCCCCAACACAGAGAGCTGCTGTGGCCTGATCCTGGAAAAGAGAAAATCCCAGGGACATGAAAGGAATTGATGAGACATTAGGGATCTGACAAAATGAAATCTTCTCGGGATAAACTGAGGATAGCTTTCTTGTCAAATGGTGAGCATCACAGATAAACAAAACAGATTTAGCAGCAGCATTTCCAATTTTCATTTCTGAGACTGTTCAGGTTTACTATTCACCCTCTCTTCCAGGTGCTGTAGATACAGTCTATTCTCCTAATAGCTACAACTTTTAAATCTTGCAATAAAATACAAGAATTTTCTATGTAGGTGTGTAACATTAAAAAAAGAGCATCTTTGGGTTTTTAGAAACATGTTAATCTACATGCAACATAAGTCAGCTACAGATAGAAAGCAGTATTATAACACAATTAAAATAAGGGGTTTTCCTAATTCCTGAAAAACCTTAAAAAACGAATGACACAGCTACGACCAGGTATCACATCATTCCTGGCTACTTCTACAGGCAGCACCCGGGAATCCCAGATGTCAGCAGGGTGCTGTCCGGTTGCCCATCACCAGCACCCTGTATGTTTGCCGATGTTTGAACATACCCGTTCTGGAGGGTTGGGTGAGGTGTAAAGGGGCACTGCAAGCTGCCAGTGTGGCTGAGCAGGGGCAGGGCAATCGGGACGTGCTGAAAAGCACTCCCGCGGGAGAGAAGCGCCCAAAGAAACCTCTCCTGTTCTCCAAAGATAGCTTCAGAAATTAAAAAGTGCCTCCGTGTCCCCTCATACCGCTCCTGCTGGCATAGACTGAACTCCGGATGAACTGGGTTTCCAGTCTAGGGAGAAGCCTGCATTTGTCAACTAGTTTGCTTTGGAGCCGTATTTTCGTTACAGAAACCCGTGCCGGACCCGTACCCAGGAGCGTGCAGCCCGTGGAAGCCGCCGGCTCCCTCGTGCCCCGGAGGTGGGTCCCGGTGCCGGCGCCCCGTGCCCGAGCGGGGCTGGGCCGGCCCCGCCCGGCCGCGCGGGGAGCGGAGCGGGCTGGGCGGAGGGACCGCACCGCGCCCGGCCCGAGCGCGGCCGCGGCTCCTGCACCGCGGCTCCCGGCGCTGGGAACGCCGGCGCCGCGAGCCGGGAGAGCAGCCCCGAGGTCAGCGGGTCGCGCCGCCGGGGCTGAGGAGGGGACGCGGGACGAGGGGCCCCAGCGCGGCCCCGCCGCAAGTTTGGTCACTTTCCCCAAGCGGTGCGGGGAAAAGTTGGGGAGCGGCCGGTGGATGCGGGGATCCGGGTGGCGGAGCGCGTCCCGGGCCCGGGGACAGGGGGGGGGTCTCGCCACTGACCTGCGCCGCGGCCGCGCCGCCTTCCGCGCTCGTTCAGCGCATCCTCCGCGCCGCTCCCGCCGCCGCCCTGCGCGCCGCAGCCGCGGCTCCGCGCCCGCGATCCTCGGCGGGGAGGAGAGAGTAAAGCGGGACAGCCCGCGGGAGACGGGAGCCGCCGCCCCCCTCCCCGCCTCCCGGCCCCCGCCCCGCCGGCCCCGGCCCCGCTGGCGGCCGCGCCCGCCCCAGCGCGCACCTCCGGGAGCAGGTGCGGCGGCCTCCGGCGGGCAGCGCTCCGCTCCTGCCGCGCCCCGCCGCATCTTCCCCCGCCGCGGCGCGGGCGGGGCCGGCCGGGGCCGCCGCCGGTCCAGGGCTGCTCTCGCCTCTCAAGTTTGCCACGTTGTGGCGGCGCCGGCCGCTCCCCGCCGCGGCCGCGGGATCGTGCATTGTCTGCAGGGCAGGTCCGCGCGGAGCGGGGCGCTGCGGGCCGAGCCTGGGACCGCCCTGCGCGCTCCCGGCTCCGCATCCCGAGCCCGCGCGGCTCCCGGCCGAATGTTGCACCCTCCGAGCGGCACGGTGCGGGGAGGGAGGAAACAGGGGTCCGGGCGGGGTGCAGGGCAAGCCTGTGCCCCTGCTGCTGGGTGTCGTCTGGGAGAAAAGGAGAAGGGAGGCTCCTCTGTGTGGATACAAGCATCCTGGCGGGCGTCTCCTCCGGGCTCCGGGCTGAAATTTGTAGAATAGATATGTATTTTGAGACTGGTTGGGAAGATCGGTGGCCCATACTCCCAAAAGACGGTTGTGAACACACACCTCAAGGGCAGATACAGAAGTAATCGGAGGAGAATTGAAGTGATGATGTCCTCGAAGAACAAACTGGAGCAGACACACTGTAGCCAGGGCACAGTGGGCACCAAGGTGCCTTACCTTGAGCTTGGATATGGACTGTGGAGTAATAGCACAGAAGGAGCCTCTTGCACTCTCTGCTGGCTATTTCCCACCCTGAAATACCGAGACGTTTTTCCCACATAAGTATGCAGCAGAATAAAGAGTCTCACGAGGGCAAAAGCGGGGCATGGCTGTAATCCCCAAGAATGGCCTCGGTGGTATGCCTGGCTATTGCTAGTGTAATGAAGTTTCCGTTTAATTAGACTGAATAATTCCCCCAGAGCTCGGCATCAAGGGGTACACTGTGCTCTGCACCCACTCCTCAATCTGGAGTGTGGGTCCCGGGAGCTGCCCCTGCTGCCAGGGAGCCACGGAGCTGAGCTCTGGCAGCCTGGGGGAACCTCAATGTAAACCTTGTTTACATTGCCAACGAGCAATGCCAGACATGCTGCCTTGAGTGCCCACCACCCACCTCCACCTGACACTGCAGTGTGAAATGTGTGTCAAGATGGATCCTATCTACAGCCCTCAGAATAATTTCAGGTGTGTCTTATAAATAAACGATGACATTTATCCTGTGATTAGCAGAAATATATTACACTTAGTCTGCTCCCTAGCAATCAATTGTTCTAAGTAGGTGTTATTTATTAAAGCATTGATTAGGGACCCAAGTCTGTAGTCCTTAAGCAAACCAGCTAATAGGATGGAATATTTAAATGAGAGTTTTGAGATCAGACTTTGGGTAACTTCATTGCCATAGGAAAAGAAGGTGCATGTGACAGTTTTCCAGGGGAAGATGCATTCATGCCACTTGGAGTTCAAAGGAAGAATAACATGTGAAAACTGCAGTCATTGCTTTACCTGAGCACCTTCTGTCCTGCTCTCTTATGTTGCAGGGTGCATAAGCTGTCACAGCAAAATAATAAGTCTATAACTGGGTAAAGTGAGTTGCATACTATAAATGTAAAACATTGCTCGATATCTGTTGCTATGGCAGGTGACCAGGGAGCAAACATCCTCCAAGGGCCATCTCCTGGCATAAGGAACCTTTCCTGCCACATCTGTGGTGGGTGCCTTTGTGAGCAGGGCAACCCGATTCTGTATTCCTTATTCAGGTTTTGTTATGAAAAATGCCTTAAATGGATGACCTTGAAAACAAAGCCCAAACAAGAGTCCTGACACTACGTCTATTGACAGCGAGTTCTCTGCCCTACTGCCTGCAGGACTCAAAATTATGTTTTTATCCAATTTTGGCTCCATTAATTACAACAAATTCCTGTGAATTTGAAAAATAATGACTCTTAAACCAGTGATTTCTGGGGATTATTTTTGTGTTTGGAGGATTGATTTTTTTTTTTTTTTTCCCCTCTGTCTCAAATGGAACAGAAGGCAATGTGAATCCCTTTTGTTTACTTCTTTGTTTCTGCTCCTGACTGCTTATTAGCAGATATGTGTGTGGCTCTGCTGTGGTCTGGTGCTGGTTAGTGACTATTACAAAGTTAGGAGGAAGAGCGACAATCACCAATCATTCTACCCTCTCAAAAGCAAAGCCTTGGTTTTGAGAGGGTAGAATGAACAAAAAGGACAGAGAAAAAAAAAAGGATATATTCATCTAGGAAAATAATATACTTGGTAAATGCGTATGCTAGAACAATAAAAGATTTTTATTCTGTTATTTCTAGGAAATGAGATTTCCAATTATTTGGATATTAAAACGTGTTAAAGCAAAGGCAATATTTACTGAAGGGAATCTTCTGTTTTATTAGTTGCACAGACTCAGACATACAGGGTGCAAAGAAATACCCCAGCATATAATCCAGTATCGTGATCTAGTGTGTTTATAATCAGGATTTCTGATTATCATGCATTGCACACAGTCACTTAGAGTCCTATATAGAATCTAGGAAGGAATTGTTTACCTTTGCTTAGTCATCAGCAAATGCAACTTATATTTTCAAAATGTTTGCTGTGGAAAGATGGAGAACATTTGGGGGTGAGTGGAATTAATTGTAAAATTGTTTCTGGTGCCTGGATACATGTAAAATGTTTCTGGTGGAAAAGACTGGAAATTATTTATCTTGGTAATTTGGAGCCTGATATTTATAGCAATACTGTTTGAATGCTTTAGGAAAAAGATCATTTCTCCCATCCTGCCAATTATTTAGGGAAAAAAGGTCAAATTTTTTTTAGTACTATATATAGGAAAGCTTATCTTATACTGAGTCTTTATTCATCTTTCAGAAAATAGCACAGAGAAAAATGAAGAGAACATATGGTGTCTTCTATCAGTCAGTCATCATTACTGCTTCTTCACACTATGTCATCACCCCACAAATAGCAAATGAGTGTGAATTTCTCCCTGCTGAAAGAGAAAGGAAAAAACTGGTTAGTACAGCCAAGTAAAAAAATAATAAATATTACAATAGCATCAACTGGAACATTATATAAAATATTAATGACAATGAGAATGCAGAGGGAAAGCCCTCTAAACTGTCAAACAATTGTATCAAACCTGAAAATGTTGAGCTGGAGCAGAACTCATGAATTTCTCTTGATTTGATAACCAAGCTTGAAATATTGATGGGACACAGTCTCTCTTGCCCATTCTTTATGAATGATTCTGTGCTATTTGAGGTGCTCAAACAGACAGAACTCAAATAAGAACAGCGAGGAATGTAATGTAATAGTTTGTCTCTGGGGCATCCATAAAATCTTGAATTTCCTTTTTAAGCAGACATCTAGGAAAAATATAATTTTATTTAATTCCCCAATGTTCCTATTACACTTTAGTATAAAGGTTGCAATTGAAATGCTTATCTGCAAAGCCCCTCTGCCATTCTTGGTCTCTTGCAAAGAAATGTGTGACAAAGCAGCCTTGGAAATAGATGCCACAGGAGCTTAAAAAAACCCCAACACTGGAAACATCTGTCCCAGCTTTGGAAGGGATATTTCAAAACCATCCTTCTCAAGAAGCAGCAAAAGCAGTTGGGGTATATGGGGAAAAAAAGGATATGTGTGTGTGTGTGTGTGTGTGTGTATTGCAGCAAAGCAGCAAATTAAGAGCCTCATTGGGATGTCTAAAGCGGATCTGGGCCATGTTGTCTCCAGGTCTCAAATTCTTCCTTTTTTTTTTGGATCCTTCCCTCAAAAAGCAGCTCATACCAGGATGCTGATGCACCTGGAATTGAGCCCCACATGTAAACTACATGGAGCAAGCTCATTTGCAGGCTCCACTGACTTTGGCACCCAGCTGAAGTAAACGTGTACGAGGTGCTTGGTAAAACTCTGGTTCAAACATCTGCCCATGGAGGACCTTGGGCTAGAGTTAAGTTTCTTCTATGGCCAGTTCCAGGATCTGATTGTGTTACTGATGCTGCTTTAGAGTTACCAGGCCTGACTGGGGGAAGAGAGCTTTTCTCTGAAGACCATTTTCTTAAAATTTTTTTACACACAGTGAGCCAGTCAGGGTGAGCTGGGCTGGGGTCTGGCACAGTGCCAGTGAGGGTCCAGGAAGAGGAGAAAGCACAGAGTAATGCTAGGGATAGAAGAAAATGGAGTAATTGTGAATTTTCTGGGAGTTAACCAAAATTAAGATAATATTAAATAATTCCATTCCCTCTGCCTCTGGAGCAATGCTTCTGCTTAGGTAGTATCTGGCAAAGCATCTATGGAGAGGGAAGGTCTTTTTCAGACCAAGAAATATCCATGGGACAAATTGTAGGGTACACAAACCATTCTTTAGGAACAAAATAAAAATCTCTGGAAAGATTATAGAAACCTCAAAAGACAGAACTGGAAGAGATGTATTAGATCATATGGTTCCGTGTTGGTAGAAGCAGTAATAAATTGCCCCCTGGAGATAGAGAACATCAGTTATTTCATAAAATATAGCCAAAGGGCCCAGAAGGAACAATATGGTTTAGACAGGAAAGCCTGAGAAGCATTTGATTTAGTCTTAAGAGAGAATAGCCAGACCTGGCAGACTCAGATTCCAAAAATGCCATTCAAAACTACTCTTTCAAAACTCCATCAATAATGTGGAGTAACTGGGAGCTGGATCTGTTGTGGGCTGGGTGTGGGAAGGGGCTCTTTCCACATACAAAGATGCACGTTGAAATATTCCCTAGAACAACATATGAGGCTGCAGGATTTTGGAGTATTTTACTGCTTCTGTTTTTTGTCCATCCTGGAAAAATGGTGGTTAAGATGGAGTAATTACTGATGACCCTTCCAAACCAAACCTGAAGGTAATGCTGTTCTCTAAGGACTAACTTGTTGCAGGTTACACAATGTGATGTTCTAAATTTGGGTCTTCATAGGGTCTATTCAAATCTTATCCATGGTGGCATTTGGGGCTTGGGGCTCTTTTGGATTGGCTTCATCGTCCTGGATGTATTTGCTTTGTCATTTCCTGAGACAGTAAAGCTCAGGGACAGAATTTGCGTGCACCTTGTATTGCAGCTCCTTGTTGTCTGTGTTTAGGCAAGAAATGAAACCATGATCTATCAATATAGTGATGGACTTTACTGTGCTGCTGTTGTGGTGCTGAGCATGTTTTTCCAAGTGGATGTGTGGAGTAAATCACACTGGAAAAATGAATTGGAGAAAACTATGCTCAATGTTGGCCAGCAAAAGTGATCCTAGTGGGATCATTCCATCATTGAAGGAATGTGTCACAGCTCTTTCATAGGTGTCATAAACAAGTTCCTTTTAAGGCTGCTGGGAACAGGGGCAGATCTCCTGACACTTGCATTCATTCTTCTCAATTTTATGTGTTTTGTAAGTTGGTGGTGTGAGTCAGCAGAGAGGGAGCACTGTGCAGGCATGTAAACCTGCTCTGAACCACTGTTCTGAGGACCAACCAAAGCAAAAAATAAATACAAAATGAGGCTTTTCCCAGCCTCATCTTAGGCCTGGCTCCTGATCCCTTATCACAGACCTTCTCTCTCTTCATCATCTCTTGCCTTCTGTTTCTCTATCCCTGGAGTGCACCTCTGCATCATCTGTCCCACCCACCTGCTGCCAAAACAAACCTGTCTTTGACCAGACCTTCCTGCCACCTTTTTTTTTCCTTTCCTGCCTCTGTCTTATCCCTCTCATGTTACTATTAACAGTTCAACTCTTTTTTAAACATATAATATGAAGAATTGATTTAGTGTGTGGTTTGTGCAGAGGGAGCTGAGCCTGTGAATGAAGCCGATGTTTCTTTTTCTTCATTCTCCCTTCGTTTTGCATCTATCATGCTGTTTTCAATAAACAATTAAAATAAATAAAATATTGTGGTCAACTGGGATTTCACCTAGTCTGCTTGCTTGAATACTCCCCATGTGAAATGAGAATGCCATACTCTGGAGCTGCTCTGTGATCCATGGTTTCATTATGTGGCACTGCTCCTTGTTTCCCCTGCACTCTCACTGTTTGAAATACTGAGAGGAGCAAACCAGGGGCAAAGGGGAAGCCATAGATTTAGGCCTGGCTTTGCATGACCTCATCAGCTGGGTTTTGTTTGCAAACCCACGGGTGCTTGAGATTCAGGTCATTCCTCTGAACCCCCCTGCAGTGGTAGGCGTGTGTGAATGCATCAGAGAGGAGACATAAATGACTCACACTATGATCCATCTTTAATTCAAACAGTCCTCAGCAAAAGTGAGAGGGTGGCTTTTGTGTTGCAAAACCATGTTTATTTCATTTTATTTTTGCCAAGCTGGGTGTGGTTTGGGAAGAGGTACTTTGTATCTTATAATCTATCTATCTATCTATCTATCTATCTATCTATCTATCTATCTATCTAATCTACCTAATCTATCTGTCTATCTATCTAATCTCCCAGACAGTGAGAGCAGCACAGACCTGCAATTTTCAGTTTGGCCATCTTCTCAGAGGAGAGTTAACACGTCTGCTGAGAGGAGAAAAAGTAAACTACCTTTGTCCTGTAGCTTTTCCCCTGTTGTTTTTGTTTCTGAACAGGCATTGTCATCTTGTCTCATTAGAGGTAACACAAGCTGAAGGTTAAGGAGAAAATCCCAGCTATTGACATACATGATGCAAACCAGCTCTTATTTCCTTTGTAAATCAGGAATTGTGGGAAACTGTAGCAGATGTCTTGTCAACTGGGGAATCTGCTGTTGTCCTTTAAAAGGCAGCTGCTGCCTAGGTGAGCTGGTTTTCCTTAGAGCTAGAGCTGTGATGCTTCCAGGGTCAGGCTTTCAGTCTTCCCTGAATTTTGAATCACTAAAGCACCTGCAAGGTCACTTCCTGGAATGCCTTTGGATTTTCACTGCTTTGGGCCATCTGGACTAGATGAGCAAGGTGATGTCAGTGAACTCCTTTGTGAGCAACCATCTATATGACAAAGGGAAGAATGTTGTGTACAGGGGAGGCAAAAATCTCAGGGCAGATTTGGGATTTCAGGTTTATTTTGAACCAAGCAATGTAACCTTTCAAATTCACAAAGCACTGTCAGTTCTTGTAATCCTTTATTAGTCTGCTTGGGTTTGATTTCTGCTTTTATTTTTGCTATCTAGGGAAAAACAGATTTTGGCATCCTCTAGTCTGAACATTGTCAACTGTCATTGTCGGAATAAGGCCAGTAAGAATTCCTTATGTAAGCAAGATTTAATTGACTGGGCACTTAGGGAGAAGAAAAAAGGAGAAAAAGAGAAAAAGGATTAGCTGTAGCTTGATTCAGGTACCCTGTCTGTTCTGGAAATAAAGGAAAAGAGAACATAAGCTGCTACATTTGTGTGATTGCACTAAAATAGCAGCTTGTGTTTACATTTTAACTTTCCATTACAAGGCTGCTGGCTGTGTAGCTGGAAGCACAGATTTGGGATGTGATGAGTACCTGTTTGATGGGCTCTGTTACAGTGCCCCAAACAACCAACACAAATATTATCCTTTTGATATCAGTGTCAGCTTCTGAGGCCAAGACTTATGACACTGGGGGTTTCACAGTGTCCTTGCAAGCGCCATAAAATGAGAATATGCAGAAAAAAAGGACACAAATAATGTTTGCTCTGTCTCTCTCAAACTGCTTTTCCTTGTACAGTTAAAGTGGTCACTGACTCTTTGTGCTACTGTTAATTCAACTGTGTTAATTAACTGTGCTACTGTTAATTCAACACTTCAGTGAACTTATCCCTTATGTCATCTAGGGCCAGGCTCTGCCCCCTGGTCCATTTTGAGGAGTTTCTTGGCATGTCAAGTGCCTCGTTAGGCTCCAAGTGTGATAAAACACAAAGCAATATTTTATAGCATGTCAGACCTGAAGCACCAGTTGCAATGTAAATGCTCTCACTCCTGTATCTAATTCAATCACACTGATCCCTAATGTAGGTGATTCCCTGGATGGCTTCCCCAAAT